GGGAACCGATGCAACAACAAAAAAAATCGTACTCCGTTGTACGACGCTGTCTTATATTTCTACGCACATAATCCATGTTAAATGCGGAGTACAGTACTCATAGCACATAGTACAATGGTATACCTACAGTGGCGTGACGATGGGGTCGCGGGCCCTGTGGCTTTCTGAGAGTAGGCCCTTTTAGGTCCCGGTCACCAATTCCATTGTGGGATTACAGATGTGCTCACTTTTTAATTGTTTGTTATTGCATTCTAAATGTTTTTAACGACAAAATATATGATATGTGCAGCAACTGTCCCAATGGCAAAACAACGTATTGCTTTGATATTTTGTTCAAGTTACATTGTTTTACCTTGGAACATCCGGCCGACCGACCGTATATTCTTGCATGTCCTTTACAGTAAAGAAATGCATTACTTAACTGCATTTTTAGAAATGCTTGAATGCTGGACATCTTTTGTTTAAATTTTGTGACTAGGACAGACTGTGGAAGCATGGAGAAAATAAAATATATTTTATTTTCTCCATGGTGGAAGCATATGCTACTTTATTTTTCAGGAGATCCTGTGATTTGCATGTCAGAGATTCTGACCCTGATAGATTAAGAAAATATGTATCCAGGTAAAGCTACAACTACAGATATTCCATTAAAAAATCATAATTAAAACAGCTCGGGCAGATGAATTTTGGGGGGTGGGGGGTGGTGCAGACGGTGCGATCGCACCCCCCTAAATTGTATTAAGAAAAATAATTGCTGTATCGTATTGTTGATATATTATTTTTATCACTAAAAATATAGTACCAGTAAGATTTTAAAAGTATGAGAGTGCAATTTCCGGGCACCTTAAGGTGCATATTCTCAAAATTTACTCACCCATGGTGGGACTGAGGTAGAGTGGATTATCACGCACCCCCTACTGCCAAATCCTGCATCCACCTCAGAACAGGAAAACAAAAAATATGGAGAGGAAGTTTATGTATTGGGAATTCAGTTTTCCTTCCTTTTATGGTGAAAATACCTTAGTGTACTATGTATGGTATTGACATGGAGCTTACAACTAGGCATTTCCTGTTCAGAGACTTTTGCCCTTTCTTTCAGTTCTGGTATGTGTGCCTCTTCTATTTCCTGATATTTATACATACCTTTCATAAAATACTAAAGGCACGAATGCAAAAAAAAAAAATATGTTGTTTACCACCTTATGCTAAGGCACTAGGGTAAGGGGATTTCCCTTCTGTTACATGTTAAATGTCATTGCACTTTAAAGGTGTATTCTTTTTTGATGATCCAAACTTTTAAGAAATGTTAGGTTTTGCCAGTTCTACAAGCATTGTGAACTGTCAGTGTTGGTTGGAACAGGTTGGTCAATACGTCACCTTGATGTTGTAGTTGATGTGTGCCCTCGGTTGTTCTGATGTACTTGACGACTAGTCATCTTGCTCCCCTTCCCCCTGTAGTGTAGTCTTTGATAATGTCATCTTTCATAAAACAGTTCACCTCCTCCTTCGATCGTCCCGGTTCATAGTGACTTCCTTTCTCCAGATGCCAGGTAGGGAATTTATATGTATTTTTTACATATTAGACTCTGAAATCAATGAAATAAGGCTTTGAAACCCCAAAATTGTCATATTTTCCGATGGCTTCAAAACTTTTTAGCGATGCCCGACCACACCCACCTTTTTCTCTTCGGGGACATGAGCTCCAACCTGTCCGGGAACTTGGACCTCCCGTTGGGGAAATCCTGGTGCTGTCAGTGCAATGGAATTCTTTAACAAGTCACTGATTTAATTTGCAAATATCATATTGTTTCTTTATGTTTGATTTCACATACCAGTGTTTCCCCGTGCAAAATCCCAGGCTTAATTTGAATTGAACTAAATTTACAATACTTCTTCTACAAAATGTTGAAAGTTTGCCTTTGGAGATCAGGCATTCCTAATGTTTTTCATGAAACGGGGATTCCTCAGGTATAAGCTCACACCCAAGTATCAACTTCTGTGTTCAAGAAAAGTTAATTTTTACTGGGTCTGAAACATCAGATTAACATATATGTAGGGATGCTCCCTACCCCCTGAAATCCAAATCCTCCACCATAAGATAATGTAAAGTGGTTACAAAAGAAAAAATAACTTCCGAGGACATAGGAATGTAGTATAATCTGATTCCTTTAACATCCTCAGTTCTCATATTACAGGATGAATACTTTGTTTTTGTGGCTAGGGACGTGGACTTGTTTTTCCTTATGTAGAGAAACACAGATTGCAAGTATTTCACATTTCAGAACCTGGATGTTTTCTGATGTTGAAACATGAACATACTGTACTAAGAAAAGCATTGATGATAAAGGCATTCAGAAATGGAAAAAAAAAAATGTAAAACATACAAAAGTAAAGCAGGGGGATGGGCGAAATACTAATGGAAGAACCACATATTACCAAATCATTCCATTAATTTTTTTACAGTGAAGAATTTTTGAGATTGTCCCTAAAAACAGTGGGTTTGTGTTTTGTGGCTTATCAAAAGAGGAATGCGATAGTCTCTTGGTGACTTAGTTCTGATATACTCATTTGCCAGTAGATTTTTGAAGATGATATTCTACACTTTACTAACCAGTTCATTAGAAATGCTGGAGAAGCCTACACTTCAAGACATTACATTATTTAATGTATTCTAGCAAATGCTTCTTCGTTTATTGCTATTGAGGGTGTTACATTAAGGTTTACAACTATTAACCCAAGGTTCAATTAGTAGATGGCACCGGTGGAAAAATGGGAGTGCATTACCCCCTCCCCCAGTCATCTGATGCCATGACGAGTTATTTGTCCCAATAACATTGTTTTATTGTAATGATCTAACATTGATTGCAATGATCTAAACCATGAGCCATAAAAATATTTCACATGAATCCTACCAGGGATTTATATTCAACTACATAAGTTTCCCCCCTCCCCTTGGTTTGGACCCCGTGTCAGACATATTTGACCCCCCTGCTGGCAATTTCCTGGAACTACCACTTTGTTCAATCACAGATTCTCAATCCCTGGAATTTTACATTTGGGAGACAAAATGGGCTGGTGAAGAACACATCCCTCAAAAATTTAATTTGTTTTAAAAAATATCGACCATCTTGATATATTCCTGTAATCTTGAGTTTTCCAATTAGTGAAAGGACTTTCAGTTATCAAATATAAAATGTTTCTGTAAGTTGCTTCACTGTTTATAAAGAATTTTCATTAAATATAATCAATAGTTTTTCTTAACTTTCTATTTAAGACTGAAAATGATAACTTTGAATAAACATTTGTATAACACAAACATGTCTTATAGTATACAGTATCTTAAGTATCTTTGTAGTGGTTGAAAGAAAATGTTATTTTAAATACTGTAGTGTTAAATTTATAACAAGGTCTCTGAGGATAAGCCTTGAAGCATGGTACATACGCTATTTTCGTATGTTCATAAATTTTGTTCTTAAGTGGTAAGAAAAGAAGCGGGCGGGAGAGAGGCAGACATTATTTCATATAATTTGTTATGGTTGTTAAATTATCATTATCCAGTTCCTTAATGTTTCCTTTTTATAATCAAATATCTGAAAAGGTCCGTCCAGCTGACCTAATTAAATTGGTTTCGGTTTCACAACAGAGACAGTGGCCTTTGGAACTAAATGAAAAAGATTTGAATATTAAGTCAATGTAATCCTAGAAAATCTTTCCATTCATATTGCTGAAACTATGTTCACGCTTATAGATTTGATCTTTAGTGTCAGTTTACTGTATTTACAATAAGTCTACCTTGTGTTTTTTAACGAAATATTTATCTTGAATCTTTGCATGGCGAATGGACATGCTTTACAATCTCAATGGATATTATTTGGTAGTATTTATTTATGGTAAGTCGAATGACCAGGCTGTTAAGGCAGAGGCACTGCTTGGTTATTTTGGTTATAGCAAGGCGAATGACCGACTGGTTATGACAAGGGCGACGCAAGCAACATTTATAATGTTGACGCTGGTTCAAACAGCACTAGGTGGAACAAGTCACCTTCGATAAGGCTATAAACCATATGCCCAGTGTATAATTGACTCATATGCCCTATACAGAACCCAGTACATCTTTTGAGACGAGTAGAGGGTTTATGAATATCGCTTTATATATAAATGCTGTAATGTATGTAGTTTTTTATCACATCTGATTGTATTTTTGCTGCTGTTTGCCAGCTGTCTTCAGGGAGACATTTTCTAAAAAATTATAAAAAGAAATTGGAGAAAAAATAAAATTATTGAAAATTAAGTCCGAGAGTGCAATTTCTGGCCATTTACAAGTGCCTTAAAAATCAATTTTCTTACTGCAGCCCTGACCGTAGTGGGGCTGATGTAGTCTAGAACCCCATCCGGGAAAGTCCCTCCTATTTCGAAATTCCTGGATCGGCCACTGCATTTCATGCATTTACGAGTTTCTGGGAGACTTTTGGTTGCTAATGGGAGTGCGGGAGACAGCTCCAATTTTCCAGAAGATTCCAGGAGACATGGAACCCGGGGATTACAAAGTGTTGCATTCATTTACTTAGAAACTTTGCATATCTGTTTAAGTTGCATAGCACTGGCTGTATATTCGTATAGAGTGGAGCAGGATTTGTCTGGTTGGTGGTTGGTGGAAGGGAGTGTTAGATGATGTGTTAATAGGAACCTGAGCGGTTTCTAGGCCCTTGTCTGGGGGCCTTGTATATAGAAAACTTTGCTGTCATGTTAGTTATAATAATCTCATTTTTGACTAATGACATAATTATAACTAACATGACAGCCAAGTTTTCTCACTTGGGGTTGGGTCATGGTAGAAGCGTCCTCATCGTGGCCCTGGGTAATGTCAATTCTACCACCACCACAAGGTATACAAGTGACTTGTACCACCATTGTCATCGTGCCTAAATTAGACCATAGTGGGTCCTTTCTAGGGCCTGCACTTATAGTCAAAGTTTTCGGTGGACACGATAAGAAGAAAATTTCTCACTATAATTTGATGTAAAATTATCTCATATTTGACTGGTAAATTAGTATCGGATGGTATTTTATCTACAGTATATTGGCAAGATATCCATCCAGGATTTTAAAACACTGATCACCAGCTAGCAAATTAAGGTGTGACACACTGCCTGCTACTTCCTGCTAAGTGGAGGTTTATGATTGGCTGAATAAGTCCAGGAAGAAAGGAGGAAAATTATCAAAAGTGAAGAAAGCATGCCACATCTCACCAAGCTTAATTGTGTAAAATTCAATGGCATTCCACCAAGGTGAGAAGGAATTGTCCAAAATTCAGTATGATTTTTATGGGAGAAATTTGTTGTCAAATGAAAGCAACCTCTTAGCATTGGAAATTGGAAATTAAAATGCATTTTGATAAATAATTGATTAGAAGAACTTAAAAGTACTGTATGTGTTTTTGATGACTTGTCAGGCTTAACTGGTACAAACTGGTACACAATCGAAAGATTGTAACAACGATAAAGGGCCTTCACAGTTTGCAAAACATCAAATATTTTCTAAATGATAATTTAATGCAGGTCTTCCTCCAATTAAAACCATTTCTGGAGTTTCATGGTCAGCAGGTTGGTTTGAATAATAAAGATAAAAGACAATATTATTGGGTTGGGTCGTGGTAGAAGCAGTGGCGTATCTAGCAG